GCACAGTAAATGGACAAAGGGCCAGAGCTTGCTCTAGCTAGGTTGAGCTGGAGGCAAAAGAAAATGGGTGTTCTCCATTCATAAGACAATAAAGGCTCCTTATATGGTCATTTGTTCACCCCACATCCCTTCAAATCTGTCTGTGATTGTGTGATGTGTTTTTTTTAAAGTGAATTCTGGGTGAGAACAATGGACCTATTTTTTTAAAAGCAAAGTTTACCGCCCGAAGCAGTAGAAAATGCCGTGCAGCAGGCAGGAGAACAAAATGCTCAACAACAAAACATAAAGAAAAACTCCACATGGGTTGAGGGTGGAAGATGAGCTGGCTGAGGACAGACAGGGAAAATAGGAACCTTCTTTAAGGGTATCATTGCACGCAGAAGAGAAAACCTTTCCCACACGGTGGCAAACAGATGATAGAATGATTTGTTGCACTAGTGCTAGACCCTGTGGTGAACTGTCCATTTGAGGTGTTTTATCAGCATGACAGCAAAGACTTGTGTTCTTTACTAACAAACCCTGTTGAACTTGAGTTCTGGCCAAGAGAAAGTTCACGCTGATAAAATCTTGTAACTACTCGACATTAATTTGAACTTTGAGCTGCCTCTGTGGTGGCAAAGGGAGGTCAGGCACTGTTCTTTTTTGTTTTGGTGGAGGTTCACTGAGACTTTCAATGTCTGAGTTGAACAGAGTTGGACTCTGTATCAATTGAACAGATCAAAGAGGCTTCAGAACTCTGACATTTAGAAGAACAGAAATCTAAATCTCTGCAGTCGATGTGTTGTTCATGATACTTTTGAAATAGAAAATACTATTTATTTATTTCCAATGCAAAATACATACGATATATACTGTATTGCCTCATAATTAAAGGAATAGTTCAGCATTTTGGGATATATTCTTATTTGCATCTTGTCAAGAGTTAGATTTAAGACTTATTTCCTTGCTTGATGATTTTCTTACATATAACACACTGATACAATAATAAAGTCCGTACAATCTGTATAAAACAAGCCCTCAAGGTCCTGGATAATAAACCTAAAAGCTACCATCACTGTAACATACTCCCTAGATATGGTCTTCTTTGCTGGGAAAACCTCATTAAATTTCCCAATGCTTCTTTAATAAACAAAATTCTTAATGGATTAGCACTCTCCCCGTTTACCACATTCATATTTCAGAAGAATGTTGGCGAGAGATTAACCAGAGCCAGAATAAGAGAGGACATTGTTGTCCTGAGGAGCAAAATATCGTTCAGCCAGACACCCTTTACAGTACGGGCTTCTCAGTTTTGGAATGTCCTTCCATTAAATATACAGTATACCGACTCTTACTGTTCCTTTGCCTATAATCTTAGTTTGATTAAGAATCAAATAGACCTGCCATGGTACTGAATCACTGCATGCTTGGCTTGTCTTCTCTCGTTAACTTGGCTTTTTTGTCTGTGTTTGTCAGATTGCGTTCCCTCTGGTTTTACCTGTGTCTTCTGTAATGTGATTCTGTGTTGTCATGTTTTAACTCTCTGCGCTGACTGTCGTCTTAGCCTTGTTTTGTTTTAATTGCCTGCATTGTGCTTTGCATGTTGCTTACTCCTCTGAGCCTTTTATCCTGTTCAGCTGCTTCGTGTTTTGTTTTCTCATGTTCCAGTTTTACATGTTGTGTGTTTTACTGTTGTTCTAATGGCGAATTCAACATCTGGATTAGGGACAGCAGATGGAAATGAGCACATTTTCAGTGACGTTAAATGTTAAATTTAAGGTAAAGAAAAAAGAAAGCTCAAGGTTGTGCTTTCATAAAAAAATATCTGCAGAACTGCAGAAAGCAAGTCAGCATATTCCCAAACCATTGGAACTATTCCTTTAATATACATTTACCCAGAAAGAAAACAAAATGCGTCTTAAATCATTTTAAAGGAAAATAAAAAAAATTTATAACCCGCATTTTATTTTCGGTAGTTTTGCTGATTCCTATCAGACATCGGCCATGTATGAAATGGATCACTATGTTGTAAAGAATCAATTACATCCTGGAATTCCAGCAATGAAATCAAAGAGCAAAATGTCATCATAGAGGCCAGCCGAGGTCCCTGGTTGATTGCAAATAAATAATTAGATGAAATTAAAAATAACCTCTTCTAAATGTAGCCACATAAACCATCACATCCTGAGCTGTGTGCCTCTGTCTCTCCTGTAGGTGGCAGGAACCACTGTGGCAGCAACAACGGAGGCTGCAGCCACCTGTGTCTCCCCAGAAACAAGACGTTCACCTGTGCCTGTCCCACCGGCTTCAAGAAGGTGGACCACTACAACTGTGCCGATGGTGAGTGTCTCATATGAGTACATATATATTCATTTATGAAACAACTATTTTAGCCAGTTTGCGCATTCTTTATGTAGTTTTTAGGGATCACTACAAGACCTTGTTGAATTTTTAAAAAAAGTTAGTAATTCAAAAACGTCTGCAAGGTTTTACTGATTTAATGGGTAAAAGATAATCCTCTAACATGGATTTAATCTACCTGATCAGCCTGGCAGTCAAGGCGTAGGGTGAAAAATGTACATGCAGAGGATTACAAGACCTCCATCAAAATAAAGTTTATACTAATGTATATTTAAAACATGTTAAATTACATGATACCGTTCAGTGCAGCTAAAGAAGTGCTTAAATGGACTATTTAGGAAAAGTTTTTACTCACTTAATCACTTAATCACTTTTATATTTTTTACTACCCTGTTACAGTTGCACCACTTGGAATACAATTATGTGACACTTGCACACCCTGTGATTATAAAAACATCTTCCAGTACATACATTTTATTGTCATTATTTAGAAAGGTATGTTAGAGGAAGGGTTATTATGTATGACATTTGCCCTTTAAGGGCTTTTAGTTGTCTGTATGTTAGTGCTGTTTTGCTGTGTTCACTGTTGACCCCACTGTTAAACCTAGAAGACTGACAGAAGACCTTTGGTCTTTAATCAGGTCTTGACAAGTTCCTGCTTTTTGCCCGAAGGACGGACATCCGACGAGTCAGCTTTGATACAGAAGACATGTCTGATGATGTTATCCCTCTGGCTGACGTGCGCAATGCCGTGGCGCTGGACTGGGACGCCAAAGACGGCTACATCTACTGGACGGATGTCACCACCGACTCCATTAACAGAGCGCTGTGGAACGGCAGCAAGCAGGAGGTCAGTGACATCTACAGTCTGGCTGAACCCAACAGTGTCATGCCACCGTTTCTCATCTGTCCCAGACTCATCAGAGAGGAGCAGCAGCAGAAGACAGCAGGATTTCAGTTTATGCAATACTGTCATCTACTGGGGCTGATGTGAAAGTGCAATTCATGCTTTGTAGAGGATAATGTAGGTAGTTGTGTTAGATTCAGTTTTCTTTGTTGTCCACAGTGAAAATTTAGCCTGTAACCAGGCTAAAAAACTAACACAAAAACAACCAATCCTATACACAAACAGTTTCATAAGGGATCCATGAAGTCATTTCAAAACAGAAAGAATAAAATTAAAACCAAAAATAATTTGGACTAAAACAACAGAAAACTGTAGTAGTAATAATGATGATAATAATAATAATCATAATCATAATAATCATGATAATCATAATAATAATCATAATAATACAAGAAGCTATCACTACGGGTTCATGGGAAAATGGAAGTATTGCTAAGAAATAGTGGCTTTCTATTCTTCCGATTCATAAATGTCAGTGGCAGATCATCTTGTGGTTGTTGTCTATCTCTACCATATAAATAACACCAACTATTATCTATTTATCTCTCTTCTCCCTACTTTTCCAGGTGGTGGTGGATACCAGTCTGGAGAGCCCAGCAGGTTTGGCAATTGACTGGGTGACCAGCAAGCTCTACTGGACCGATGCTGGTAAACATCCTCTTTTCATACAATACAGTCACCTGCATGACAGTGTGTACTCTTGGATTTTAACCAGTTATGTCATGTCTTGTGTTTTTCAGGCACGGATCGTATCGAAGTTTCTAATGCTGATGGGAGCATGCGCACTGTCCTCATATGGGAGAACCTGGACCGGCCCAGGGACATTGTCGTTGACCCAGTCGGAGGGTAAGATGATTAGAAAGTCGTATGAACCTCAACAGTACATTGCACTTTGATTCTTTCTCATTCGTTTTATCCTTTCTTCGTAGTTTTATGTACTGGACCGACTGGGGCGCCAACCCAAAGATCGAGCGTGCAGGAATGGACGCCTCCAGCCGCATTGTCATCATCTCATCCAATCTGACGTGGCCTAATGGACTCGCCATTGACTACGAGACCAAACGTCTGTACTGGGCTGACGCTGGCATGAAGACTATTGAATTTGGCAATTTTGATGGTTCTGACCGACAGGTAAAGGGTGTTTTTATGATATTAAGCCGTCACTTTTATCCTCATGAAGTTCATGTTTTCATGCTGATTAGTTTGAGACATTCAATAGTAGAATTGATTTGCAGCAATTTCATGAAATGTTCATCCTTAGTTGAGATTAGTTTACTAGTTAGTTTGGCATTAACACTGTAAACAGATGTTTATGGATGTTCACAGATCTCACAAGACCTCCACTACTGTTTTTGCATGCAGGTTTTGATTGGCAGCCAGCTGCCTCATCCCTTTGGCCTGACCGTACACGAGGACAAGCTGTACTGGACAGACTGGCAGTCCAAGAGCATCCAGAGCGCCGACAAGCTCACCGGCTTGGGTCGACAAACACTGGCTGAAAACCTGGAGAACCTAATGGACATTCACATGTTCCACCGACTACGCGAAACAGGTCAGTGTGCTTCCACATGCCAGATCACGACTGAATCATACATGTACAGTGCAGTCAGAATCTCTGTGCTGCATCACATTGGATCTGAAATGAATGAAACAATGGCTACGAGCTTTAAGTCCACATTTTTAGTAGCTTATAACTGTTATTTGCCCAAATATGGCAAATGGACCTTCAATGTTCTGCACTATGGAGCAGCCTGTCCTGTTTCAAATCCAATGTGCTGCAGTACAGAGATATGAAATATGTAAATGAAAATGTGTCTGTATACTTACGGTCCACACTTTACTTGTCCTGTTGGACTTCAGTCATCTCTTGTGACAAGGGAAAAAGATCTCCTGTCACTTTCTGCTTTTCTGATTTTCGCCGCCTTTTCTCAGAGCTCAGATCCTGTGTCTCTTCTGACACTGTGAGGATTACAGGTAAACCGAGAGGGCAGAGAGCCTCAGGGGCTCATACCAAACTGAAACCTCACTGATCTTACTGATGTGTGGGGCTCTCCCGTGTTCCCTGAAGGGTTTTACTGTATGTAGCTCCTAGTTGTGTGTTTTTGTTTTGTTTGCCCCAATTTCTTTTATTCTTTTTCCATTCCCTGCCTCTAAACTGACCTAGAAAGTAGGACGATGGGTGAGCTTAGTCTGTTTGCGTGTCTCCATCTGTAGTGCGTAACCCGTGTTCGGTGAATAATGGAGGCTGCAGCCACCTCTGTCTCCTGGCTCCTGCTCCCAAAGCCTCCAGCTGTGCCTGTCCCACCGGGATCAACCTGCAGACGGATGGAAAGACCTGCACGCCTGGTATGGAACAACCTCTGTTTGCATTGAAACATTTGTTCATTATTTAAAACAGAGGGAGTATCGTACAACAGTTTCCATCCTCAATGTGCTCTGAAACATTAGAAGTGTCAAAAATAATCCAGGTAATTGTTGCCTATACTGCCCTACAAAGACAAGCCACAGTTCTACAGTATTTGTCAAAACTTGAGTTATGACTAAAAATGAGTATACATCCATGTTGACAGTGCAAACGGTAACTGCTTTACTGCTGACTTTTCATGATAATGGTTAACCAAAATACGAAGACAAAAAAATTAATTTAAAATGTGTCCTGGCTGAATCCCACATCCACTGTAATGGCTTAATGCCTCTGATCCATCACATGATGGGAAATGTAGTGCCAAAACATCTTCATCTCAAAAGGAAATACTTAAAAGAAAAACAACAGTAGTGGCAGAATCTACCTTTAAATAAAAATAGAGAAAACACAAAGTTCAAAAAGCATAGGGTTCAAAGACTTAATGTTAAAACTTTTGCTGCCAGGGACATAAAAGCATGTCAGCCCCCTTTGTATTCGGACCGGATGGTGCTGTGATATTTTTCTTCTGTGTGTTGTTCGTATGTGTGCAGGGATGAGCAGCTTCCTGATTTTTGCACGGAGGACAGACATCAGGATGGTTTCTTTAGATATCCCCTACTTCGCTGATGTGGTTCTGGCCGTCAATAGCTCCATGAAGAACACTATCGCCATCGGTGTCGACCCCAAAGAAGGTTTGCGTGTTTTCTCAAAGTTTTAAAATGTTCGGGGTTTTTTTTTTTTTTTTAAGTGATGAAGTAGAAGTTCTTACATGTGTATGTGGCGCCTCCTGCAGGAAAAGTCTATTGGTCTGACAGCACACTGAAGAAAATCAGCAGAGCCAACATTAACGGAAAAGCACAAGAAGACATCATATCTACAGGTGAGGCGGATTGTTCTTTGCAATGCTGTTTAACTCCACCCTGTCACAGTGTCACGACTCCATCTCCTTGTTTCTCTGTGTCTTGAATTTCCCTCTGATAAATAAAGTATCTATCCATCCATCTATCCATCTATCCATCTATCTAGGCTTGATGACGACTGATGGCCTGGCGGTGGATGCTGTTGGCAGGAAGATCTACTGGACGGACACGGGAACCAACCGCATTGAGGTTGCCAACCTGGACGGCTCCATGAGGAAAGTTCTCGTCTGGCAAAACCTGGACAGCCCTCGAGCCATCGCCCTCTACCATGAGATGGGGTGAGGCCACGAGAATGTTTTTCACTCTTTTAAGCATTCACTGAGAAATATTTTAGTGTCATTAAAGACTTGTTATGCTCTGTGCTAGCTCTAGTTCAACATATTGTAAAATGTGATTATTTGCTGTTCTGTTGAAAGAAAGAAAGGTCCTGATCATTACCACCAGTGACTGTACAGGATCCGGACTTCTGTTTGTTGTCCAATGTATATTGTTCGCTTGTCTCGTGAGCCAGCATGTCCTCTACATATTATCTCTGCTTTCAGTCTCCTTACGCTGTCTGACCTTCGACCCCTGCATCCCTCTCTCTTTCTCTCTCTCTTCTCCAGTTATTTATACTGGACAGACTGGGGAGAGCATGCTAAGCTGGAGCGCTCGGGGATGGATGCATCAGACCGTGTGGTCCTCATCAGTAACAACCTGGGCTGGCCCAACGGCCTGGCCATCGACATGGCCGGCTCACAGTTGCTGTGGGCCGACGCTCACACTGAGGTCAGTGGTCATGCCTTATGACACAATTTTCACCTCATAAATCATAAATATGACACTATAAATGAGCTCCAGGAGAGGCTGAAAATGTGCAACACGTCGTACAAAGCACTTATTTTCCAGCATAACCTCCCCTTGGTGCAGAAATTAGGAGAGATTCAAAGGTTAAATGGCGAAACACTAATTGGCTTAAATGTAAATGCATTAAGACGAAAGATATCAGATATTCTAGAATCATGGCGTTAATCCCTTTCATCTCTCTGCCCCTCTTCAGCGTATCGAGTCGGCCGACCTGAACGGGCAGAATCGCCGCACTCTTGTGACACCAGTCCAGCACCCTTACGGTTTAACTCTGCTGGGGCCCCACATATACTGGACCGACTGGCAGAGTCGCAGCATCCAGCGAGCTGACAAGAACACCGGGACCAACACCATCACGGTGCGATCCAACCTGCCAGGCCTTATGGACATCCAGGCTGTGGACAGGGAGAGGCCACTGGGTGAGTCTGAGGACATGAAGTATATATTATGTCTCATGAAAAAAGTGTTTCCATGGATTTATACTGTTAATTTCCTTTATTTCACCTAGTCAGTATCTTTCACAGCAGATCATACAACTTCCTACATTCTTCAGATTTGCTCAGTGGCCTTTGTTTCACTATAACAATTGATGTGTTTCCCTTGGGTTTTTTACCTCCATTTCTATTTTTGGCACTCTAACATTACTCTGCTGTAGTTGGTGAACACATATCATGTGTCTGGGTACCTTTTTTCTAACTGATTCCTATAGGTTTGAAACATTTTTAACAAATTACCACCACATACCGTTAACAACCTAAATATAGCTTCTTTTAATTGTATTATGTATAGGTTACCTGGTGACTGACTGAGTGATTTTATGTGTTGCCTAGAAACAGTAAGACACCTCTGTGTAAACAAAAGTCTGCTGCAAGTACACACAGGTTGTTGTTTGGCAAGGTATCTGTGTTTCTGTTTTATTTTAGTGCACCTCTGTCTCTTTGCATCAACCCTTCTCTCTCTGGCCTCTTCAGGTTTTAATAAGTGTGGCAGGAGGAACGGGGGCTGCACCCACCTGTGCCTGCCTCGTCCCAATGGTACGTCCTGCGCCTGTCCCACCGGCATCCTGCTCAAGGGAGACGGCAGGTCATGTGACGACTCTCCAGAGACCTACCTTCTCTTCTCCAACCGCGTCAGTGTGCGCAGAATCTCCCTGGACACTAATGACCACACCGACGTGCACGTACCGGTGCCCGAGCTGCACAACGTCATCTCACTGGACTACGACAGCGTAGACGGAAAACTTTACTACACAGATGTCACTCTGGATGTTATAAGGTGCGAACAATGTCTACATTACATTGATTACAACTTTATGATTATTTGTATTTATCATGGTCAGTCATTGTCATATATAGCTGTCTTTAAAAATACAGTAGATAATGGATGGCCTTCATTCAAAAAATCAATGAGATTTAAAAAAAAAAAGCTTGTCAATACTACTATAAAAAGCCAAATCTTACAAAAAAGAAAATAAATCCGTAAACTGACAAGTCTGACGTAGAACAGAATAAAAATGGTGGTCACATTATTTACCAGTATTATCAAGATTTTTTTTTTTTTTATCAAGTAGCCCTATGTCATATAATGTCCAACCTTTACTCTGTTCTTAGACGTGCAAACCTGGACGGCAGTGGAATGGAGACGGTGATCAGCCAGGGCCTGAAGACCACAGATGGGCTGGCTGTAGACTGGGTGTCCAGGAACATGTACTGGACCGACACTGGGCGCAACACCATCGAGGTGGCCCGCTTGGATGGCACGAGCCGCAAAGTCCTGGTAAACAACAGCTTGGATGAACCCCGAGCCATCGCTGTGTTCCCGAGCAAAGGGTGAGAGAGGGGAGTGAACCGGGCTTTACCTTCAAATTAGAATTTGTCTCACAAGACATTTCTTCAGCATTTTGGGAGCTTTTGGGATGAAAATGAGTGTTATTTAGACTTATCTGTTTTTTTTGGGAAGTGTCACATTAGAAAGTTTCCTCACAAATTTGGCCTCTTCTCTGCAGGTTCTTGTTCTGGACTGACTGGGGTCACATTGCAAAGATTGAGCGATCTCACCTGGACGGCTCAGACCGAAAGGTCCTGATCAACACTGACCTGGGCTGGCCCAACGGTCTCACTCTAGACTACGACACACGAAGGTCAGAGAGAGAGAGAGAAGCTGTGTGTGGAAGGAGCTACCCGTGGGGCTTTTGTAAATGCAATTAGATTAGATATAATGAAAGTTTCATGATCTAATGATCGCTGTAGGGAAATCAAATCATGTCAGTATCAGAAAGTATATCTGCAGGACAAATAGAGAGTTCTGAACATTATACAACAGCCAGTTATTAGATGGCAACTGAACATACTGAGATTAACTCACTTCATTAAAGGGATTGCATATTTGACAGTACAGAGTATAACTATGCTATGTCAACTTTTTATTATGGGGTGCAATTATAATTGAGCATATGTGCAGTAATGTACCAGGACATGCAAATATAAGCGTAAGTGTTCACGGGCGTATAGAAGTGTGTTTTTAATTCTGATGTTTTCTGCAGGATCTTCTGGGTGGACGCCCACTTGGACAGGATCGAGAGTTCGGACCTGAACGGGAAACTACGTCAGATCCTCGTCAGTCCGGTGTCCCACCCGTTCGCCCTCACACAGGTACCCCCCGTTCCTCCTCACCCCCAGCTTTCACTGGGCTGACCCTTCCTCCTGGCTGCCTCCTCCACTCACCTGCTCTCTTTCACTCATCGGCTCACCGTGTGACTCTCACTGGTCGTCTCTCCGTCCTCCAACTCATACTGAACCCATTCGACTTAACCATTTCTTCTACTTCCCTTCCACTCTGACCCTCATTTTTCTTCCTCCTCTCTCCCTTCCCTTTCTTCCTCCCATACCCCTGCTCCTTGTCTGTGTTTTTCCTCTCCTCTCTTCTTCTCCCTCGTTTCCCCAGTTGAAGCCGGTGTCCTCCCCTCTAACCCCTTTCTCCCGACTCTCGCAGCAAGACCGCTGGATCTACTGGACGGACTGGCAGACTAAGTCCATCCAGCGAGTGGACAAACACACCGGCCGTAACAAGGAAACCGTGCTGGCCAACGTGGAGGGCCTCATGGACATTATAGTGGTATCACCTAACAGACAGACAGGTAAGGAGGCTTTTCTTCTGACACCTCCAGCTGACATGGAGACACCAAAGACCTCACTATGTTTGTCAGCGTGTCAGCAGCAGAGACTGATATAGATGTCTGAGCCTGAAATACAGCAGGCAACGAACACAGGTTCAGACTAGCTCAAATCTAATCAGTGACCTGCTGAACCACAGCTGCACATACCCAAGTTTAAAATGTATTCAAATTGACATCTAACACAATAATGTATACTAATTTACTTTCAGTTACTCAGAGCTATGTTGTTATCTGATTTTCAACTTTGCTAGATTACATCTTAACAGGACATTTTGCCTCAAAGATTTAATCAGTAGTTTAATTAGTAACATAATTAAAACAAAAATGAACCTAATCAAATTTGTTTATGGTTCTTTTGTTGTCTCCCTCTGCGCCCCATGAAGATGAACCCTTTTAATTAGAAGTCACATGGATTTACAAGAAGCAGTAACCTTTCCACATGAGTAAGATTTTTGCTGGAAGGGTGGTTCAAAAGAAATCTGATTCCAGCCGCTCTGATGTTAATTAGCTAAACGGATGGATTTGTTTGAGCTTCTTGTAATGTAATTTAATGAAAATATTTTACTTTTTTACAGGTAATTAGTTAAAATTGCATTTCAATTTGTAACAGATTGAATTATAGTAATCTTGCTGCAACCTTCATTTTCTGCCATCACAGGGCTGTTACATAATGGAAGCCCAATTCAAATCCCAACTTTCTCACCTGACGAAATGAACCAAACTAAAGAAAGAAACACTCCTTGATTCTAAATAAAGCCCTCAGACTGTTTGGTATCTGTTGTGAATGTTCTCTCTCCTCTCATTAGGTACCAACCTCTGTGGGGTGAATAATGGCGGCTGCACTCACCTCTGCTTCGCCAAGACCAACAGTTTTGTGTGCGCCTGCCCTGATGAACCAGATGGGCGACCCTGCTCCACCAGTGAGTGACCACTGGGACTGTGCAGTGTTTATCTGACTGCATGTGCTGACTTTTTGATGATGTTTGCCAACATGTCCCCATGTTTTAGCCCAAATCTTGGTAGGATTTTTCCTAGCCACAGTTTAGAATGATATTGAATAAAATATAAGGGAAGTCTTTACAAAGCATGGAAACATGTATAATAATTAAAAACTTCCACTCCTTCCACATTAACAAAAACCAATAGTATGTTCCAGCACACTCAGGTTCTGATATCCACATGTTTATCAGTTTCAGGTTACATCCCCACCGCACCTGCCCGAGGAACCAGCAGCACTCCCGTCCCCAACAATATCCCCAAAGCTCCAACAGACACTCCACACAGAGGACCCTCACTGGTTAAGTATGTCTGTTTCACCATTTGAACATTGGCTTTTTCAACAGCAAAAGCTCCTTTCTGAAGTTAAAGAAAAAGTATCTTAGAGTACTTTGACATTATCCCACTGAAAAACACAGTAGTACACTTGTTTTTGAAACAGTTTCAAATAGCAGCATGTTGTCCACAAAACATGCTGCCAGATTTACCTCATTTCAACTTTGTTCATCTAATTCGAAGAACTGAAAAATGGAAATTGGAGAATTTTCCCAAAGAGTAGTATTGTGTAATTATTCATTCTCAACAAAAAACACAATGAGGTTTTCAGCCAGCAGTAATACTACAGAAGCTTACAAACTCTTCCCAAAAGCCCTACCAAGATAAAATCTATAATATACTGTAAATATATATGTATATATATATGAGTATTAGGTAAGTACCCTTCTCACACTGAGTCTGTCCTATTTTCAGCTGCACTGGCAAGAACCTGAACGAAGAAGGCTGCGTAAGCAACGTGGTGACGGCTCCTCATGGTGAGTTTAGTATGAGATCAGTTTGCACACTGTGTGTAGTCTTAAAGGAG